TCCCCAGCAGTATCATTTGGTAAAATATCATATCATTATTTAAAAATTGCTTCCTTCTTCTTCATCACTAGATTCTGCAATTTCTGGGGGAACAACAACAATATCAGTTTCAGTTCTGGTCATTATTACATTATCATCATTTGTTTCTTCATCAAAAAATCTTTGAAGGGCTTCTTCTAATGTAAGATACCTCATTCTAGGCATTTTTAAACAACCAGAACATCGAAAGGAATGAGTGAAAAAGGAGATTGACTACCCGTTTCTTGCTGACGTTGTGTCAGCGCAACACCTGTTTTTCCTTCCAAACACAAATAAAAACATCTGACTGATGTAATGTTCTGATAAATGGTGACCTTGACTAAAAATAGATCACTCATAAAGACAGTGATTCTTTGGTTCAATATTTTCAGCAAAAATACCCGGTCGAAAATTTTGCTTAAAATATGAGATTAATTATTATAAACAAAAGGATTGTTGAAGGCAAATATTTTTTTACAGAAATAATCTTCATAATATTCCCTACACAAAATCATCTGCTGGTATAAAATATCTTAGGTAGTTATGTTAATATATGCATTTATTTTGACCATTGTGTCAACGCAACACTAGCGGCTAATGGGTTAAAAAAAAATCGCTAAGCCCCCTGACACAGAATGAGGGTGCCGAACAAGACTGGGGGCACCACTAACACTGTCACTCCCAAAAGCTTCAAAGAAGACTGGTGAAAGACGTGGGTCAAAAGTTGTCCTTTGCACTTGGTTAAATACTTAGTATAATTGTGTCATACAGTCTCGAGTCAAGGGTCGACTTTGACCTGCAGTTACCTCCACTTTTGTCACTCTCTGTCAGCTCTTTTTCGTGTGGTGAGCCTTTTAATATTGTGCCCACAATCTTAAAACTTTATCGTCCTATTAACCTGTGAGGACACACATCAAGCCTGCCAGGCCATGTTGTTACAAAAACATAATACAGAAATTACTCCTTTGGGGGAAATTTTTCAACCTTCTCAGTAGCTGTGTTCAAGGTCATGTGCGTGTCATTCACAGGTATCTCCGGAATTTATCTCTTCCTCTTTTTTCAGAAATGGGGTAACCAGGTCTCCCAGGCCCGAAGTGCGCATTCACATTGTCATTTTTAAACCGGACAGAGGCGATAAGAAGGATTATGTGAAGACATGCCATCACCCTCGATGTTTCCAAAACCCAAGACAAGGCCAACCAAGATTCTGACACTTTCCCCACCAAACCCTCTTTATGTGAAATCCCAAGAAAGACTTGTAGGAAAAAAAAAATTCTGAAGCATGGCAGGCGATATGCAAGGTCACCTTAGGAACCGGGTTGAGTATTCCGGTTCTAAAGTATCTCATACATGTTCAGTGAGATTTAAATAAGAAACTATGCTGACAAATCCATTCAATAGATATCATTACTTTCCAAGAGCTCCTCAATAGCATGAGTCCTGTGTGACCATACATTGTCATTCATAAAAACAAAGTCAAGACCAGTGACACCTTGTAAAAGATCCACACGGGGATGGATAACTTCATCACAGTAATAAATCTCCAGTAAGTGAACCTCTAACAAATCCACCCATTCATCATAATGACTCCCCATACAAGTATGACAAGACCACTCCAGTGATCTCTTTCATTGATGTTAGGGGAATGAAAGTGTGTCTCTATCTCTGTCCATATCAACTGTGCCAATAATCATTTGTCAGAATGAAAGAACTCTCACTGGTAAAGAGGATATGACTTCATTGATAAAGTGTTCTCCAGTCTGTGTTCTGTACACTGCTGTTGATGGGCTACTGTCAATGGTATGCAGCTGTCAGAAATTAAGCTTATTAAATGAAATCATATGGCCATAGTAAATAGAACACTTGTCATCAGTTGCCAGGTGCAGATGCTGAGCAATCTTACCGACCATCATCAAGAATTCTTACAGCTGTTCCTGTCATTTGGAAGGCTTTCCAAGCTCGTGAAACAACACTTTTATCAGTTCCAAAGTCTTAGGTGACAGATGTAAAACCACGCCCTTCCTCAAACTTGTTAATCATTCTACCACGTGTAAAGGCATCCTGATGTTTTCTTACTGCCATCTTGCACATACAATCTTTCACTTGCACAAGATTGCCTGAAAATACACCTTCCTTTCTTCTTTTTAAGTTGCATTGCATTTTGCATGTCCTGATATATCCTCTGACATCACAGTGCTGGTATTTGCATATGCATCATCTTTCTACTGAGTTGGTTTTTCATTGTTCTGATCACAAAAAGCCCTTTGCAATAGTTTCATGGTTGTATGTTGAAAAATGAATTTTTTACTTAATATTAAAGAAAATTAATTTTCTTAACTTGCATTGTAACCATATGGTATCTTATATGTGAGTACTAATAATTGTTTAATATGAAAATAAGTAGAAGTTGCATGTTTTTTTAGATATTACGTAACATCATTTTAGTGCCTGATCAGTAGTTTATTATGTATTTCATAAACTGTTTATTGACAGTTCAAGTATGTCTTATTATGACTTACTTATCAGATACATCATTCTATAGGAATGAAGCAAAAGTTACCAGTTTGCAAAAGAAAATTTAAAATAGTCACATTCACAAAAATGGAAGTTATTCAAGTTCTATAAAGCCCCCTGTACACGAGGAGACATCTCTGAACAAGTCTTCCTCATAGACATGTCTCCTGACAGCATTTTGTCTTCACAGGGAGATTTTGTATATAAGTTTCTCTGAGTTATTTAGCCAAAGCAGATGACATGATTTGTATCCAGTAGAAGATATCCATCCATCTCACAACTAACATAATTACAAAGTTTCCAATGTCTTTATCTTTTAATTCTTATTATTTTAAAAATAAGTTGTAATAATAATAGTAGTAGTAATAATGAACAGAACACTTAATAGCAGACAGAAAGTAACAATAATTAAAGTTGCTAGTAAATTTGAAAAAAAAATTACAAAGTACAAAAAACAAATAAAAATTGTAAATTAAAAAGTAATAAAATAAATGAAACAGGAAAGGAAAACAGTTAATTGTGAAATGTAATGCATATATATAATCATTACATAAAAGCAGAAAATAAATCGATTACTTCATATATAGCATAAAATATACCACATAATAAGTAGATTCATTAATAGAGCATTTTTTAAGCACATGAAAGAAGAAAAATAAATTACTTAAAAATCTAATCTATTTTAGATATAATAAAAATTATTATGTAAATTAATTTATATGAAAATTTATATAGAATGTAAATAATAACATTTTATGTGTAATTATGAAATAACAAAATCATTATACACTAGGGAAGTAAATTAAGAGAATTTGCATATTTTATCGAATTGCATGAAAAGAAATGAACTGAAGGAAAAACCACTGCTTCTAGATAAAAATACAAATCTTGTACGGCAAATACATACGTGTGTGTAGGTGGAGCCAGCAGAAAAACAGGCTTTAGAAGTGTGTGGAGGGTAAGATGAATTGCATTTGCTAGCACACCTCAGCAATTTTCTTGATGTTATTTTGCAGCAGTCGGTTAAATTCACATTGGAACAGTAAAAATGAGTAACCACCGTTTAGATGGTGGAATGAGGTGGCGAATTGTGAGAAGGTAGAGGCAGGCCAATTGCAAGTCCAGATATGTAGAGAGTTTAATTGAACGCCCACCATCATGTGTAACCTATGGAAACAGTTCTAGGATACTGGATCCATCAAAAGAAAGCCTGGGCAAGGTCGTCTAAGGGACACAACGGCCAGAGAAGATCGCTACTTGCCCATTTTAGCGAAGTATAACAGAGGCGCTACAGCTTCTCAGCTCTTTCGGGACCTGTATGCAGCCACAGGAACCCATGTAACAAGGGTAACTGTTTCCAAGAGACTGAATGAGACAGGGTTATTTGCCAGAAGACCGGCTATTTGTGTTCCACTCACGTCTACGGACAGGGGAGTCCGATTAGCATGGTGCAGGCAGCATAGTGATTAGAGTACGGAGCATTGAGCGACCGTTCTTTTCACCGACGGGCCTGCTACCTACCCTCCATTGTCCCCGAAATCAACAATTATGGCAGTGGCGGTGTAATGGTCTGGGCAGGCATCATGTTGGATGGCCGCACACATCTCCACATTTTTGACAGAGGCTCTGTGACTGGTGTGAGGTCTTGGAGCCCTATGTTCGCCTTTTCTGGGGTGTAGTGGGCTCCAAGTTCATCTTACAGGATGATAACATGAAGCCACATAGGCATCTGGCAGATTTAGTTAATGTTAACAAATGAGGTAAAAAATTAAATTGCTCTGTAGGTTATAATAGCAGATCACTTGTATCAAAAGAATTCAATTGGAAATTATGATCTAAAAGAAATATTATATCATAAATTGAATAAGTACCATATGATCTGGGCCATTTTATTTAGGAAGCTTTAGCTTCCTAAATAATGCTGAGAATAGGTACAATTCTTTTTCAGACACTTGATTTCCATACGCAATTTCATGGACTGTTGCCATATATGTCTCTGGCAGGAATGTATCCCATCATGTGAAATGCTCACTAATTTGGTGCAGGCACCACAGACATGCACCAGAGTTATGTTTTCATGTGTAGATGAAATGGCACAGGTACTGCAGACTTGCACAAATCCTTGTTTGGAGACATGTCTCCTTGTGTAGACAGGGTTTTATTCAAGGTAAGCTGAATAATATTTAATTAGTTCAAAACACTGCTTTTAAAATTAGTTTAAAACAGCATTTGTGTAATGGGCCAATCATTAATAAGTTATATACAATGTGAACTAATAATGCAGGACTTCAAGTTTGCATATAGACATCTAACACCAGATCCATTTTGAGGTCTTGATATCAGCTTTCTTTGTACAAATGATGGCAACTATTACTCAGTTGAAATTCTATATGTAATGCATAGTAATATTCAAGTCATACATCAATTCTGAATGAGTTTTGAATCCCAGTATGTTTACTTTTGTGCAGGTTAGTGCCTCGAACACGGTACTTACTGGACGCTGTAATGAAAAAGGAAATAGATTCCAAAGCATCTTTAAAAAGAGTATGGCAAGAAAATCCTAAATGTGAGTATTATTTTTTTAATCAATCAGTTGTAAGTAGTTACTGTATCTGTATTAACTTAACTATTGCAAGATTTTTTAATAGTTGTAGAGAAATAAAATTTTGATTATTGTGTTTGGATACTGGTTGCTATAAATTTTTATAATGAGGTATAGAATAATATTTCTTTAATAATCAAAATCATAAAAAACAACCTTGTATTTAGCGTAGGTATAATGAAACACTCAATCGATTTCGAGGCAGAGGTCCCTCCTCAGGAGAAAGAAATACATAGAAAGAACGAAGAAAATAGGAGAAGGAGTCACAGAAAACATGTGGTCCTTATCAGCACTGCACGTGGTTATAATTAGATTTTTAATCAGAGTTGCACTGGCCGCCTACTTTTTACTGAGCCAGGCTATCTGATCAAGCATAAAAATATAGCGAAGTTAAAAAAGGGAGCGAGGGGCAAATGCACCTTACGCTCAAAATCTGAACTTCAAATAATGGAAAGCAACCACTGAATGGATTTTATACCCTCTGGAGTACCAAACGCGAGGAGGTAACGCCATCTATCGGCAAATAATAAGAAGTAGAATTTTAAAGGCATTAGGAAGGACTGGATTGGACTTCAAATCATTAACTAAACTTGCTAAATATTTTTGTGAACGTGAAAAGCTTCAAGAAAATCCAATTCACCTATGGAAGAAGCCTTTTGGATGATTTTTGCAGACCCAAAATCAAAATTATGGTTAAAAGTCCAACTACATCATACGCTATTGAAGACTTGTTAATTTCGCCTTTTCTGACATAAGATTCATGTTCCTTGATACGAAACTTCAATGCTCTTTTTTTTTTTTTGCCAATATATCTTAAACCACACTGACATGATATACTATAAATTCCCCAAGAATTCAAGACAGAAACGCAATCTTTTAGAACCGAAGGGTGAATTTTATTAATAGGGGAGAAACCGACTTGAAAATTGAATTTCTGGAGAATCCGTGCAATTTTATAGCTAACAGAAGGATAAAATGGAAGCACGACCAAGGTCATTAATATTTTTTCTAAAAGTGGAATGTCTTCTTTGATGGGAATCTGAAAATTTTTTAACGGCTTTATCAATAATCACGGGAGAAAATCCACGGTCAATCGCAACTGCTGTCAAATAATTAAGTTCATTGGTAAGCAAGATTCAGAGGAACAAACTTTAAGGCGCGGGAAAACATCATGTAAAAAGAGCCATTTTTGCGTAAAGGGTGGCATGACTTGGCATGGGGTGGTAAACAAACTGCAAAGGGTACACAGTGGTGCTAAAATCGGTATCATTGCGGATTATAAGAAATCGAGGAAGGGGAGGGAATTGTTGGATTCAATTCCAGAGTGAATTGGATGGCTGTATCAGTTTGAATCATAATGATAGAATCTGGATAAATCCTCCTTATAACGTAAAAAGTCGAAATGCCATCAACATACCGAATCCAAAGATGAAAAAATTTATCAAATAATTTCATCTCAAAATAGTAAATATAAATGTCAGCACTACGGACTGAGAGGATTACCTAGCCAATCCTTCAACTTGACAAAATATGCATTTTGGAAAACAAAGTGGGTTTGACTCAGAGAACTTTAGTAAGCGAAACCAACTCATTAATTTCAGTATGTTGAAGTGAAATTCTCGAACCTAGTTTCAAGACTTTAGTGCTCTTCACTGGAACGTGTGAATATTGTAGCAATTAGAGGAGAAAATCTGGAGGAAACTAAATATTTGGCCAAAGGATATGAAGCATACCTATGTGGAAACAATTGGTCGAAAAGGAATACCGGTTTTGTGGACTTTGAAGAGCATAAGTCTAGGCAATTAGTAATGGTGGAATAAGTGATTTCTTCAAATGAGTGGAAGATTGGGAAGATTAATAGCACTTTTTACTTTCTTGAGGTCCGAAGTTGAAGGATCTTTAGGACGAGCAGTATGGGCCTTCATTATCAATTTAGAGACCCAGTAATATATGTGTGTTGTCCATACAACGATCGTGCCCATCAGCTTTAGAGATAATATATTAGTATCAGAATGAATTTCACGAGATCTCATTTCCTTTTACTAAGATTCGACAAAGATTTATTGTTAACTAACGTTATGAGTTTAGGTGGCGGATTGTATCCTTCTGCGTTTCTGAAATTTTGGAGAATTAAAGGCTTTCTCTATAGGGGCTATGATTTGAGGAATGAAGGTTAGTGTCTTGAAAAGTTGAAAATTATTTTAATACTTTTAACTGATCCTCCAAAAGATTCCTATGGGAATATAACTGGGGTACGTTTACAGTGGGAAGATCAGCTAGATAGTGGGACTATCCGACTGGTATGTGAGTTTAAGGAATTTAAATGAGCACTTTTATGCCGTTGACAAACGGTATTGGTTCTAGATCGGATGTATGTTCAAATGAGGAAAATTTTCAGTGGAATTAGCAATTTTAAGAGGTAAAAATTCAATTCAATTTTAGATAAACGTTTGCGTGTGTCCCTTATAGTAGAAGAAGTGCCAATTTGAATTATGCAAAATTTTTGAAACAACGAAGCTTTAAGGCTACATTTCACATTATAAATTTGGGATGAAATTTTGATGCTTGCATTTAAGTAGAAAACGTAGAGATTCCGAATTTTGTAAATTAAGGCGTAACTTACAAAATCAGTTCCTGTCAGTGGACAAATTGTGAAAAGGGCCCAAGCAAGAAACAAGTGAACAAAAGAAATGTAATCGAAAGTCCAACAATTAATTACTTATAACATGAAAAACACAATAAATATGAAGAAAATTTCATCAACATATGACAAAACATTCAAAAGGAGAGAAACACCAATACAGAAAACCAATAGCCAGTGGAAAGAAAGCAACGAAAGTCAAAATCTGCACATGGAAACGATAAAAAATAGAATTACCCGAAAATGCCGGTTGATAACATAAACCAAATCCGAAAAAATGATGGCCATGGAAAGAAGTAAATAAAATGGTGCATGTGGTAAAACAAAAACAGTAAATATTCTCGAAAATGCCGGTTGATAGCGCAAACTAAAACTAGAAGAGAAACACGCTAACGTGACACAAAATCGTAAAAAACAACCTTGTATTTAGGGAGGTATAATGAAAACTCTTGAAATTGAATCCAACAATTCCCCCCTTCCTCGATATTCTAATCCGCAATGATACCGATTTAGCACCACTGGTACCGTAAACCCTGCAGTTTGTTTACCACCCATGCCAAGTCATGCCACCCTTAAGCAAAAAATCGCTTCTTTTCTATTATGTTCCGCGCGCTAAAAGTTTGTTCCTCGAATTCTTTGTTACCAATGAACTAATTATTTGAGAGCTTGCGATGACCAGGATTTTCTCCCGTGAATTGATAAAGCCGTTAAAAAATTTCAGATTCCCATCAAAGAAGACATTCCACTTTTAGAATAATATTAAGACCTTGTCGTGCTTCCATGTATCTCTGTCAGCTATAAATGCACAATTCTCCAGAAATTCAATTTCAAGTCGGTTTCCCCTATTAATAAATTCACCTTCGGTTCTAAAGATTGCGTTTCTGTCTTGAATTTGGGGAATTTATAGTATATCGTGTCAGTGTGTTTTAAGATATATTGGCCAAAAAAAAAGAGCTTGAAGTTTGTATCAAGAACTGAATCTTATTCAAAAAAGGAGAAATTAACAAGGTCTTCAATAGCGTATGATGTAGTTGGACTTTTAACCATAATTTGATTTGGGTCTGCAAAAAATCATCCAAAAGGCTTCTTCCCAGGTGAATGGATTTTCTTGAAGCTTTTCACGTTCACAAAGATTAGCAAGTTTAGTTAATGATTGAAGTCAATCAGTCCTTCCTAATGCTTTAAATTTTATCTAATTCATTATTTTTGCCGATAGATGGTGTTACTCCTCGCGTTTGGTACTACCAGAGGGTATAAAAATCCATTCAGTGGTTGCTTTCCATTATTTGAAGTTAAGATTTTGAGCGTAAGGTGCATTTGCCCCTCGCTCCCTATTTTAACTTCGCATATTTTTTATGCTTGATCAGATAGCCTGGCTCAGAAGTAGGCGGGCCAGTGAGCCTGATTAAAAAATCTAGTTATAACCAGTGCAAGTGCTGTAAGGACCACATGTTTCTGTGACTCTACCATATTTTCTTTTGTATGTATTTCTTTCTCCTGATGAGAGGGACCTTTAACTGCCCTCAAATCGATTGAGTGTTTCATTATACCTACGCTAAATACAAGGTTGTTTTTTACGATTTTGATTGTCACGTTAGCGTGTTTCTCTTCTATTTTATTTCTTTAATAATTTAAGATTACTTTTAAAATTTAAATCTTAAATTACAAGAAATGAAGATGATATAATTCATATACCATAAGCAGAGATTTGGCCTTCTACATCACATAGGGTAAGAAGATTCCTTCATCTTACTTTAGGTACATTGGGACTAGCACTACATTATTTTTGCAGTATAGGCTACCATATTGAAATCTTTAGCAACTTTCCTGTCTTGGTACAGAAATAATGTGATATTTTTATCAAGCTGTTTTATTTTAAATAATGCAGGGTTCGTACAGTCCTTAAGAGCTTTTAAAAGACCTTGGGTTTTTTGGAATCAATTTTTGGTCTTTAAAACTCCTTAATTTTAATCACCTGAAATTTCTGTCTGTTACCTGCCATTTTAAATGTGAATTAGTATTTTGGACAGATATTTTTTGGCAATTCATTGACAAATGTAGTTATCTTTTGAATGGGTGAATAGGTTCATAAAATATAATTTGTTCCTATTTCTTATATAAACAATGAGATACTCAAGTTTCTGAGCAAGAAGTGAAATATAAGCATTTCAAAATTATTTCATTTTTTCTAATGAAGAGTTCGTCGAAGGGTCCGGGTTCAATTCCCGGAGAAGGCTTGAATGCTTGTAAATGTATAGTGTCCATGTGGCATGGGGGCACTCTAAATATGCGGCGAGCCGAAAGTCCTCTCCAGAGGTTGTTAGGAGAAGAGGGATGGGATATCTTCGGACC